AGCATACCGTCCTGTTTGTTACTTGGTAAGCTCGCGTTCAGCCAGTTGCGGTGGGCTAGAACGAAAGGTGTGATCATGAAAGAATGAAGCACTAACAAAAATGGGCAGATTGAACGTCTAATCCTACTGTGCAGTGTATTGTTCAGCCGTAAATGGGAACACGGCCCCCTATGATTGCGGCTCAAGGACATCGTTGAACACAAAAGCGAGGGCGCAGGGGTGCTGGTGTAAACTGAACATAATGAACCCCGTGACTGAGGCAAAATAGGGAATATCACGAACTCGAAGACCGCGTGCTGGTGCTGTCACCTTCGTCGGCCACCGCATCGGAGTTCTTCGTAAAAGCATGAACACGCACGCTTCATTTCCGTTCCTACCACTGTGAATGCACGCGCATACCGAGACGGTCCGACCGTGCAGCGGGGCTGATCTATTATATTTCCACTATTATTAGAGTGAAATGGAGTTTCTGCCCAACCGTTAGCGCAAATTCGTCAGATTTTTGGCGAAATGGTGAGCACTTCGGTGCAGTTCGGCGCGAATGGTGCGTCAATCACATCATTGCGTTACCAGTACTCCAATTCATTATTCATTGTCTGCTAACAAGGGCATTTGCCCACAAAAGCACGTGGACAGTACGCCTGCTCAGAAAACCCCTTTTAGAACGAGCGAAACTTCTGCGCATGGGCCGTACGACACTTAGCGTCATCGTCATCACGTGACGTCAGATATCTACGATGCCCTGTATACGCGCACCATGCGCTCGCGTGCCTGCACGCGGCTAGATGTGTCGTCAACGACACTACTACACGCTGCCATTGTACTCCTCCCCCGGCCTTCCCGTATCCCCGCGTCTACTACTACAACACGCACCATGACCCGGCGAGATATATATACGGCCAGAGCTATTGTTCCGCGCAGCGGGGGGTAGTTAATAAAACTCCCGCTAGGGGGGCTTTGCGACCGACCCCTTCCGCCGTTTGGTATTTGCTCTGCTTTCTTGGTTCTTTTTATCTTATTCTTTTTTTTTTTTTTGCGTGGATACTTGCTGCTGACTGGGAATAGCTTCGTGACAGAAAAAAAGAAAAAAAAAGACAACGAGCGGAATAGTGAAAGAGAAAGAAAGAAAGAAAGAGCGAGAGAAAAGACGTGTTGTTGGTTATTACGCCGCACGGGAATATCTTGAATATAGTTTTTTTATCTTTTTTTGTGCGTTTCTCTCGTTACGTCGTTTGAATGAAGGTGTTGAGAGCTGGAGTGTTGCGTGGAGAGGTGCGTAAATAAGTGTCGTCATACATTTCTTTTTTTAAAAAGTAGGCCTTTCTTTTATTTGTTTAGAAAAATAAAATGTTCGGAAACATCGGAATTTCGAAATTACGCGCCCTAACGCTGATGAAGCAGACTGACTGTTCGACGAATGAATAAAAAATGTGCCCTGAATTGTCCTGCAACTGTGTTGCAACGTGAAACGTTTCTGGATTAGCGGAGTTAGTGTCGAGTTAGTGTTGAGTTACAGTTAGAGTTAGAGTTAGTTAGAAATAGTTAGTCAGACTTGGTGGAGCACTGCTAACTCTACTAACACGTGCTTGCGCTTTTTGTGGCTTCGCTCAAAGGGATTGTCCGGTGATTTCCGAAGTAACCAGGTTTTTGCGCTTGTCACGCGGAGAGAGACTAAATCTAGTCATTTATTTAATTAAAAGACGCCCCAATATTCGTTAAATGAATTATGAGCATCAATACGAAACTTCACGCCGAAGTTCGCAAGTATGCAAGGCTCGTCGTGTGTCGTGACGTCACATTAGGCATGGTAATGTCAGAGTCGCGGGCGTTGACTAGTTCCCGGTTTTGATCAGCGTGGTTGATGGTGCGTATACAGAGATCATCGTCGAAGAATTGAGCTTCCCTCAATACCGTAAACCTTGTCTTTCTTAAGACGAAGTTATTTTACTTGAGACAGCAGTCAAGAGCTGAGGTGGCTCTCTTTGCCAGATGTTAGGTCAGAGCTTCCCCTGTTGCCAGCGGAAACGGTGTGGGTTTTGCAGATGCAAGCTGTGCATTTCGGCTCCGTTTAAAATTTAATTACTTGTGCGTCGGAGGATTAAAAATTAGGATATTACGCTGATTATATTCCTAAAAGCGATGAAATAAAGCGATTGTTTTCTGGAGACAAAATAGTTTTGGATAATCCCTTTAATCTAGAAACCTGGCCTAAAAACGTTTCACGTTAAACGATTTGAATCTTTACAAATCAAAATTGTTTTAGGCGTACAAAGGTATGAAGGACTCAGTTCTGGAGTTCAGTTGAAAGATATTTATAGAAAAAACCTGCAGCGCCGTAGCACCGGCATTATAGCAAGTACAGCCAATATATAGGACTTTGTGTTTTCGGAGTTTATTTCTCGTAAACTTCGGAGGGTGTTTTTCGGTGTTTATTTTTGTTGCATTCTCAATTCTTTGAAATTCGTAGTTTATTTTACTGCGTTCATAAAAAAATCCAGGCACCATGACCTGTTTGAGTAGCCTTTTGTCAGTAGTTAGATATTTCAAATTAAACTGAAGTGGTATCTCCTCAGGACCCCTACCCCTGCAGTTTCTTGTGAAGTACATTTGTAAAAGCCGTCTCTTTTGCTTTTTATTTTGTCGTCGTGACTTCGAAATTTTGAGTTTTTTGAATAAATCCGAATTGACGAAATATTTACCGACGAGTGTGTTTTTCGGATTTTTTTCGGATTCACCCGAAAGCACGGACCCTTGCTCATATATGAAAAAACACGAAAAAAAATTGCAATTGGATATTGTCACGGGTGGTGACTAATAAACAAGAAATGAATAGGAAGAAATAAACGTTTAATATGGCGAACTTGGGCCAAAATAAAAGGGTAGAAAAGATAATAACAGAGCGTCGCGGGCGTCGAAGTCGGCGTAGCAGCAGAGTCGAACGCTGGGGCGAAACTGACTCGACAAGGTCGCGGGCGGCCTCTTATCTAGAATGAGTCACTATCTCGAAGATTCGGCGGGGAAGGTTCGAGCGTAGCGCGCTTGGGGCGAGAATGAACACGCTCTTTCTAGAACAACAAAAACGATAGAAGTTATGTTCGCAGCAAGAATAAACGAGAACCTTCTGCAAGTCTGCGCGCGGCATTATCCCCCCCCCCCCCCCCTTTAAAAGCGCATCGTCCCGATGCAGCACAAACCGAAAACAAAGCGAACAGAAATAACGGTAAACAAAAGAGTCATTTGGAACACATAAGGTCCACAGTCCTATCGAGCGTAGTACAGCTTCATGCGCACGACGTGGACGACTTCTGGTCTTGGAGGGCGGCGTGATGAAGTCCGTGTTCCATCGGGCATCACCTGGTAGTTCAGATCCCCGAGTCGACGAAGCACTTTGTAGGGTCCAAAGTAGCGCTTCAGAAGTTTCTCGCTGAGACCACGGCGGCGGATCGGTGTCCAGACCCACACCCTGTCTCCCGGCTGGAAGTGGACGTCCCGGCGACGAAGGTTGTAGCGGCCAGTGTCGATACGTTGTTGGGCTTGAATCCGGAGTCTGGCGAGCTGACGGACTTCTTCTGCCCGTTGGGCAACCACTTGGGCGTCGTCGCTTCCGTCGACGACCGGTTCGTGGGGTAACATTGCGTCCAGCATTGTCGTCACTTTGCGACCATCAACCAGTTGAAAGGGTGTAACCCCGGTGGTTTCTTGGACGGCCGTATTGTAAGCAAAGGTGACGTACGGCAACACCTCGTCCCATGTCTTGTGCTCCACGTCGACGTACATGGAAATCATGTCGGCGATGGTCTTGTTGAGTCTTTCCGTCAGCCCGTTGGTCTGAGGGTGGTACGCCGTGGTGCGACGATGGCTGGTGTGGCTGAGACGAAGGACTTCTTGTGTCAGCTGGGCCATGAACGAGGATCCACGGTCTGAGATCAGGACTTCGGGAGCGCCGTGCCGTAGGACGATGGATTCAATGAAAAACTTCCACAGCAGTTCCGGAAGGAAGGGCTTTTGTTTCGGCGTACCGCGTGAGATAATCTGTGGCAACGATGATCCAGCGATTTCCCGATGTCGACGGTGGAAAAGGGCCAAGTAGATCCATTCCGATCTGTTGGAAGGGTGCCGTTGGCGGAGGAGTTGACTGCAGGAGTCCGGCCGGCCTCGTTGGAGGTTTCTTTCGTCGCTGGCATTCATGGCATGATCGTGTGTATATAGGTGGACCGTTTTGGGGAGCTTGGGCCAGTGATACTTTTCACGAATACGGGCCAGTGTCCGGCTGTAACCGAGGTGTCCGGACGTCGGGTCGTCGTGGCCGGCTTGGAAGATCTCCTCTCGAAGGTCGGTCGGGATTACCAGCAGCCACGTCGAGTTGTTGTTGCCGAAGTTCTCTTTGTAGAGAACTCCTTGTCTAATGGCGAAGGTCGGCAGGGCTCGTGAAAAAAAGTGAAAGCCGTTTACAACTTCCTGTAACGCCGAATTGGAGCGCAGCTCTTGAGGAGGAGGAGTGGAGGGTATATTCCTCCTCCTCCCTCGTGATCATGCCTGCTAGTCCTCCTCCCCTCCTGCTCCCCCTCCCTCTCCTTTACCACCTTCTCGTCCCTAAGCTCCTCCCCTCCCCTCGCCTCCGCCTCCTCGTCTCTCCTCCCCCCGTCCTCCACCTTCGTACTGCTTTCCTCCTTGCCGCTCAAGCCGGAAAGGGTCGCGTAAGAGCTGTGCTCTGAAATATAGAGTCAGGACAAATAATTTGGAGGGTTGAAATTTTATTGATTGGGGAAAAACCGTGGTGTATATTGGAAACTGCGTTGCATATCCGGCCAAGGTTTACGCTAATAACGTACAAAGCCAACGTACGCAATTGTTATACCAATGTACCTTAAAGTTTGCTCCGCGAGTTTCCAATTTACGTCCTGGATGAAAACCCCATTATTAATTTAACTAAACCGCCATGATCAGCCGCCGTGGCATGATGTTCAGCAGCCTCTCCAGTGTAGCAGCCAACCAGGACATGAAAAAAAAAAAGCATGTAGTTAAGCAGTGGGCAAATCTTCCCAGGGTTTATGCTTGACATCCACGCTTAGACAGTTGGAAGTTAAAATGCTGCCTACCTTTTTTTGTCTGCTGTGCGTAAGCAGCAAAACTTTTCAGTTCTAAGCTTACAAGGGTTTCAAGGTGACGTGATCACCAGACTAAAAGTGTGATGGACACTGGAAGATGGGCACTCGGCCGAGTATAATATAAAAAAGAAAACACTTATAATAAGTGAAACGAGCGTAAAAAAAGACACTTTAGAGAAGCTACAGGCAGGCACACCATCTTAATCTTGATAAGGGACTTACCCCAAACATGGTGTTGTGATTTGTTTAGATCTGACGCAAGATGAACTTCAATACTTGATGATGAAACAGGGTCATGAAAGTCGTCACATGCTTGGAACACACCTATAATAAATGTAGGGAAGCCGGTCTGAATTGTGTTAATGACGTTTACAATGTTTTCGTCGAACGTCTTAACAATGCTGTCGGCCATGTTAAATTCGAATGAAAAATATTCAAGCTCTGGATACTTAGAGTGTGTAGTTCCAGTAGCAAAGGAAGGAAGAGGCCCCGAGCTATGACATTCCCTAAGTTCCAAATGTGCTCCAAGCAAGGGGGGGGGGGGGGGGGGGGGGGGGGGGGGCGAGAGGGAACGGAGGGGAGGGTATGCCCCTCCTCCTCATCCGTACTCTCTCGTCGTCCCCTTCTCCTCCTCCTGTGCTCCTCCTCCTCTTTTGAGGTATCTCAATTTTGCGATATACTGCACTGAACTATGTAATATATTGTGGTATTTTTGCTCACCGCTTGTACGGAGAAAGGGAATATACTTGTCAGATCTGGAAGCTCCAATGTGATTTACGATTGATGAGACCACTTGCTTGCACAACACGTATATGGCATCTCCTCTCCTCCTCCTCCTCAACCTCACCGTCCTCCTCGTCCTGTCTTGGACGACTTGCACGCTCCAACTGATAACGAAGCTGGTAGATGCTCCTCCGAGTGGCCCGCCTAACACCTCTCAAGGTACGCAAGACCGTCGGAGGGAACAATTTCCCAGCTTTCGTTCTTCTCCTCCTCCTTTCTTCCTAGCGTGCAGTGCATATCGTCGCCAAAGTTCGGCGTCCAAAATCCCCACAATATATACAAATATAGAGCAAGCTCCTCCTATACTGGTGCTTTAAATAGCACTCTTATCCCAGTCCTTGATTGTTATGAAGGAAGCCTTGTGATCTGAGAAGTGGCAGGATATGTGTTCCAGGTGATGGACCAAAGGCTGATTTTGAAAGACGAGGTCTATGCACGTGTTTCGAGAGGTCGTCACAGCGGTGTGAGCTGTTACGAGGGAGAGAAATGGGAGGTTTTCCTGCATAAGTGGTATGAAGTTCTTATCCTTCTTTAAGTCTGCATTAAAGTCCCCGACTACTAACATGGGTGTGGACCCACGTGTGCTTAACGCAAGTCGCAGAAAATGCACGATATCTTTGGTGAGTGCTGTAGGCGAGATATACAGAGCCACCACTACCAAGCCGTTGTCGAACTTGGCGCCACAAAGTTCTCCAACTTCGTCTGACGTTCCAAATATCTCGATGGGTACGGCAGACAGACCCTTACGCACGTAGATGGCCACCCCTGCCGCTCTGTTGTGCTCTCTACTGACGCCGCAGCAGTACTGGTAGTCCATGATTTCTACCGCCTGTTTTGGATCCATCCACGTTTCCGAGAGGCAAAGTACAGATGCATGGCGTAGGACGGGGTCGTGGTGCACGTCCTTGGAATGCGCCGGCAGAGAGCGAACATTAAGTGCGGCGACCGAGAACAAGTGCGGTTGCTTAATCATTGCGTAGCACTTAGCAGTGACAGTTTGGAGTTTGTGTGACTGCAGTCGACGAAACTCATCAAGTAGTACCCTGTCGGGATTGGGCTTGCCGTGGTAGAACGTAAAGTCATTGTCCACATTGGTGAGGTAGAGCCCGTTGATGTCTGTAGCACGACTCAGTGCCACGTATACCAATTTCTGTGGATGACTTTTGGCATACGAGTACACCACGTTTTCATACGTGCCTCCCTGTGATTTGTGAATGGTGATAGCACTTGCTTGCACAACGGGTAGCTGGCATCTCCTCAGGGATATCCTTGACTTCTTATCAATGACGCAAGTGACTGTGCGTCTTTCGATAGGTGTCCAATTTTGCTGAATATTTCTGTCGAGTGCCCGTAAGTGCCGGGATTTTGCGGCCGCCTCGGTTCCAATCGCAATTTTGGAACCAAGCTCACTGAAATGCAGCCAGATCCGTTCCGGCTCTCGGAGCGTATCGTATTGTATGTACTGCAGTATTCCAACAGAGCCATTGACCAGACCATCGGAGACATCGACATTGAGTGTGAGCATATATGGTTTTCCAATGCATAGCATTATATTAGCTGGCAGGTTTCCGAGTTCGGCCTTGGGCAGCGTTTCGGCCTTGCGCATTGCCTCTGTCTTCTCCTGCATAAACCTGAATCCAACGATTGTGTCCCGTGCCGGACATGCCACACAATTATCTTCGGTTGCAATGGCCGTGTTCGTATTGTAGTAGTCCGATTCCTTGTTGGAGTAGTACAAGCGGATGCCACCGGGACAACACGTTTCTGCTTGTTGTTGCGTGACGAACCGACTCTGGATCAATGCGATTTCTTCGGAATCCAATTCTGCACCGTCTCCAATTTTGGTAAGTATGGTGGAAAACCTGAGATCGCTTTGCCTTACGACCTTCGTGAGGACAAAGTATGACAAATGGTGCCATGCGATTTCCGTGTTAAACACACTGTTCGTCTTGACGCGCTTGAAAACCTCGGCGGCACGAACGGGGGGAAGCTGGCGCAGGTCTCCGCAGAGGATGATGTCTAACCCGCCGAAAGGCTCTAGATATTTGCAAGTGATGATGCGGAGTCGCGTGTCCACTTTCTGAAGGATGTCGGCGGACATCATGCTAACCTCATCGATAATCACGCACCTGACGTTCCTGAACGCATAGCGGAACGTGTTCAACTCGTTGTCCCGGAGTCCGCCATCCCTATTGATGGTAAGTCTGAACGCTGCATGTACAGTTATTCCACCAAGCGCGACCGCCGCTTTTCCAGTTGTAGCACAGGCAACATAGGCGTTTACATTATCTGAACCAGCAGGGTTGCAATATCTGTTGTAGACGTCCATGATGAGACGCAGTACAAATGTCTTCCCACATCCAGCCACTCCCGTGAAGAAGATTTGTAGTGGCGGAGAGTCCGGTATAGTGAGTCTATGCACGACTTCTCGGACGATCTCGTACTGCTCCTCATTCGTCTTTCGCATTGTGTCCAGGTATTGATCTCTGCTCATGACGTCTTGGCGCGTGCACACGGCGGGGCACTGCTTAAACGGGGCATTGGATTGGACCATACCGATGTCTAGGAGATCGGAGTCGTCGTTTTCCATGGCCATCGGGTGCAGTCTCACATCTGGGAGCTCAGAAGTGGCACAATGTTCCCCGTCATTTGACTGGAGCATGGAATTACAAACGGCACGAATTTGCTCAATGTCTACGTCACTGTGGTACCGTGCCTTGTTCTCTAGAATGACGTCGATGTTTTGCTCATACAGACGCTCGAAACAGTTTTGGTCTAAGATGTCAACTTCTTTGCGGAATGGATAGAAAAGCAGGACATGTTCTCGCTTGAAGTTGACTGAATCGTCTACGGAGTAACCGCGGTAGCGAAGTATCCGTCGCTGATTCCTCTTTTTGTAGGTATATATGTTGTACTCGGTAGCGAACTCTGCTAGAGTAACAGGTTCCAATTCGGGAATGCGGTCTTCGTAGCGCTCGATCATCGTCCGTTTCCATACATCAGTGCTTGATTCTACTAAGCCTTCCTGCGCCATCTGAGCGTTAGACTTCCGAATGCGCGTCCTTTCCTCGGGCCATGCAGAGTTCACGAAGACAACTTTGCGACTCGCCTCCGACATATCCTGGTTGAGCAAACACCATGCGGCCTCCTGTGCGGACAGTTCAATGGCATTCAACATTTTCACACCTAGATGTCTCAGTGCCTGAGAATAGGCCATATCCCCCTTCTCCTTGACAATTTCTTGCACTGCTCGATTGAGGTTCGACATACCTCGGTTGGCCTTGTTTACATATTCCACCACGTAGGCAGCACACGCGTACGTGTCGAGGACGATCTGAAGATCCATGTTAGAATCGAGAATTGATGCAACCCATGGGTTAAAGTAATTCACCCACTTTTGCTGCACAGTACGGGGTAGCATGATGGTGGCACGAGGAGTGCCTGCTCGGAGAACAGAAATGTACTCCGCCTTGTCCGCGACACCGTGATGTTCCCAAAATTGCTCTATGGAGTCATAATTTGTCGTTTCCAGGGCCTGATGCATGGCCTCGTACTTGTTTAGGAGGCTCTCGATTTTCTTCTTCTGCGCTTCATTGTCCACAGTGGGGAAAGGCACTACGACCATACATTCATCGATGGGCATAAAAGGCGCGTTAAAGCGGCATCTGGTGGTGTTGTGCTTGTAGCAGGTATGCGTGTGTTGGTGCACCTGAGTCCGCTCCCGCTTCAAGCATCCGTTGTCGATGGAAAGCAGAACGTTGGCTATTTCAAGAGTCTGGGGCATGAGCATCGAGAGCTCCTCGTTGGGCGCGTTATGAAGCCAAAGGAGAATGTGCGCGTGTGCCGACCCGCGGTGCTGAAATTCGATCCGCTTAAAGTAGTCGACGACTATGTACGGCCTAAAAGGCGATACACGGGTGTTGCGGAGAATGTTGAGAATGACACGCACCAATCGGTCGAAATATATGGCACAGACCACGGGATCGTCATTTACTAGCTGTGCTCGATAAATGCTGTTCATTTTGCTCCAGTGGTACTTCGATCTCGCCGGGCTTCAACCGAAGGCGTTGAAGCAACTGCAAAAGGTCGGGCCAGTGCATTTCCGAGGCAGAAAGAGTGAGGAACGCGGTCGGCTTACCCAACTGCCGTATCATAGCAAAGAGGTCTTTCTTGCGTTTTGTCCAGTACTGCACGGTGTTGGGAATACCATGCATGAAAGCCATGTCGTGCTCGACCGCTTGCTGCACAAAATCCTTGTCGAGCAACTATTGCTTCGTTAGTGTTTCCAGTGCCTTTATGTTACGGAAGGCCACACACATGTCACCGGCTACTCGGTGCCTAAACACTTTCATGGCCATGTACAGTACGTGCTGCGGGGTGGCCCCTCGACGGTCTGATCTGCGGATCTCACTCATGGCGTGTGTGAAGACTGTCGGTTTTGCGCTGGCATCTACTCGGCGCGGCTCACCGAGATAGATCTGTGGGAACGAAAGCTCCTCTGAGTGTTGGTCATAAAGTATGCTCACGAGCCTTTTTCCCTCACCTGGCGCAAT